TATTATATTCCAATTAATTTAATTTAATAAAAAGTTCATGATATAAATATCTGTATTTATTTCGGACTAACAAAACAAGTGCAAATACTTCATAGATCTGTAGCATTACGAATGATGATATAATAAAAATATGCCAGGAGAAATAGTCTGTAACTTATTTCCTGATACAGCGTGTAATTAAAAATTATTATCTAAAATTGAAAATGAAATGAAAATGTATCGATTAAAAGAAGTGGCAACGCTGTAAATATGTGGTTACAAAGCTTACGATGTAACTATACACGATACGTAAATGTATGATACATACATACTGTACTAACCTGTACATAATAGTCACAGAATGTACAATATACAGTAATACCAATGACTCAGGTTTTGCACGATTTTTCTTCCTCCCATAGCTTTTGCAAACGTTCCCATCATTTTACTGTGCATTCAATCCGCAGTGAATCCTCTCTTAGCATCGAATCCTCGACCAATCAGAGCAAAGCAATTTCTACTCCTATTCTCGTCAACGGACCTACTCATGCACACGTCCAGGTCACAGCTTGATCTGTTAACGAGAGTCGGTATAGAAATTTTCTTTGCTTTAATTGGCTAACGATTTGCTGCTGAGACAGAATCCACTGTGGATTCGATGCGCAGTAAATATATTCGTGCCAGCATAGGGAATAAGAAAAGCGTGCAGGAGTAGGATCTGTATACTGTATACAATATGTTTTAAATACTACCAACCAACTTAACTTAATATACATACATACTGTTTACATATGTTACAAAAGAATTTTTTAATCTTGTGTTTTGAAACTTATTATATTTAAAAAAAGACATAGAAGTGAAATGAAAAGGTGTACATACTAGAGCTAGTGATAGACAATGATAATTGTTTTTAAACACATTAAACAAGATAGTATCCAAAAATTTATAACCTATATTTAATGATAGATTCATGCAATTAAGGAATTCTTGAAACACAATGAATACAAGAATGGGAAAGAAAGACATTGTTCAAGCGGTAATTCTTTCGGAAGATTTTGTAACAAATTTGACACCTATGCAAGATATATATCCAAGTGTTTTAATGCCAATCATAAACGTACCGCTTTTAGATTATTTAATGGAAACTTTGATCAAGTGTGGAATACAAGAATTGTTTCTTTATTGTAGCCGTCATATCGATTTAATAAAAGCTTATATAAATAAACGAAAGTGGCCAAGAATATTAGTTTCTCTAATCATATCAGAGGGATGTTTGTCTTTGGGTGATGCTCTTAGAGATATTGATACGAAAGGTTCAATTCGTGGTAATTTCATACTAATAAGAGGAGATGCCTTTATTAATGCAGATCTTATGAATGCTTTAAACAATCATCGCTCTAAACTTGAAAGAGATAAAGGTGCAACAATCACTATGTTGATGAGAAACTTTGGCTCAACAAACAATTCCTTATTAAGGAAAGAAACAGTTTTATTAGTATCTGATAAAACTAGCAACAAGGTCCTACATTACAGTAAATTAAAATTTGATGAGAAGAAAGTAAAGTTAGAATTAAATTGGTTCTTAGATCACAGTGAAATTGAGATCAATACTTGTTATATGGATACTCACGTTTATCTATGTTCACCTGCTGTACTTCCACTGTTCTCAGATAATTTTGATTTTCAAGTAAGTTATTAAAAAATAAATATACCCTTTTGTCAAAGAAGAATATTGAATATAATTGAAAAAAGATTAATTGATACAAAGTTATTTAATAAAACTAAATTCCTTTATAACAACAATTTAAGAACATATTTTTTGTGTAGATTTAAATAAATAATAACTTTTGTATTAACTTACTAATTAAAAAATCTTGTCTTGTTATTTTGTTTTATTTTTATATGTAGAATCACTATTTATTTAGTTGTATTGTTTGATATTATTCACAATTTTCATGTATGTTCATAGAAAGTAATGGAAGTGAGGCATTCTGTATAATGAACTAAATAATATATAATTTTCTATATCATTAATAGACAATGGAAGATTTCATTCGAGGAGTGTTGATGAATGAAGAAATCCTGAATTCCCGTATTTATTGGCAACAATTGAATCCTGAAGAGTATAGTCTACCAATTATATCATGGAATGCATACCAGATTCTTAATCGTGATATTTTGAATAGACATAGTTTTCCACTTACACCGAATTCTATCCCATTTCTAAAAAATTTTATTCATATGCCACGAAGCACTTACAAACACAGAAGTGCCTCTCTTGCTAAAGGTTGCACTTTAGAAGAAGATAGTGTGCTTTGCCAAAACAGTACGTTAGGAAATGATACCTCTGTTACGAGATCTGTTATTGGACACAATTGTTTAATAGGCTGTAATGTAAAAATAAAAAATTCCTATGTACTATCAGATACTAAAATTGAAGACAATTGTACTATTACAAACAGTATAATATTTCCAAACTGTGTTATTAAAAAGGCCACTCAAATAAATAAATGTATATTATATCCTGGAACAAATATTGATGCTCAAATAGAATATATTGATTCCATATTAAAATTGAAAGACAATAAAGTTATCACTATACAGATGTCAGAAATTGAAATGGATTATGACTTTGAGTTCTTTAATGATTACCATACAGAAGAATCTGATAACGACTACCATGCAGAAGATGATTATTCTACAGATGATACAAGTAGCAATGTAGATTCTGAATACAATTCACCAATTCCAGATGATACAGACATGTTTCTATCTGAAGTTATTGATAGTTTGTTAAGAGGTTTTCAAGATACACTTAAGTGTGAAAACATAATTTTGGAGATAAACTCGTCAAGATATGCATATAACATTACCATGAGTGAAGTAACATATAATGTTATTAAAGCTATATTAAGTTTACCATTTCATTATTTTTCAGAATTGAAAAAAACTATAAATAATCAAAAATATAAAGACTACTTGAAAAGTATGGTGACTTACTTCCGGCCAATTATTTTTAATTATGTCAAAACAGAAGATGCTCAAGATCATTGTTTACGTGCAATAGAAGATGTTGCTACTTCAACTGAAGAATTATTACCAGTTTTAGAAAACTTATTACTTGTTTTTTACAAAAAAGACATCTTATCAGAAGAAAAGATTTTAAACT